CCATATACTTTTTTGTTTTAGACTCGATGTGAGATTTTCCACTCAATAGGGTTCAGATTGAAAATGTGAGATGATGAAATTAATTTTGGAAATATTTGCTTACTCATCTGACAAAACAAATGTAGATGAAATGTCATGTTTTTACCTAAAACACATCGGATTCAAAGCCATTAGAGTCATACTTTGGTTTTCAATCCACACTTTAAGATCACTTTATCAACTTTAAAGTTGCGTTGTTAAGACAACTCATACCCTTAAATGTGTTCTAATTTCCCTTCTACGAAGGGACCTATGCGTTCTTTCAATTAATGCAGTATTGTGGTGACTCTTTCAAGAGATGTTGACACTTTCCTTTGATCAATATCAGTGAACAGAGTCTTGGATACTAAGATTGAATCTCAAGCTTAAGGTTCTTTTCTTTCTAACTAGGTGTTAGTTTTGTGGTAATATGTCAATATCCCTTCAAGATTAGTGATTGATGGCATTCTCTCATCTTTTTAAGATTTGACACAAAATATCAAATTGATTTAATTTGTATGTTTAAAATGCATTATAAGACTTTTCAATCTATGACTCATTTTTAATTTAATTAATTTAAGTCAAAATTTAAACATATTAAGTAACAATTTCAACAATTCAAGTAAATAATTGATGAAAATTGATCCGATCCACCAACGCAACCCATTATTCAAAACGTCAAAACAAGTTATAGACAAGATTTTCTTACTCTCAAACTCATTTAACCCAAAATTGGTAGCCACACCCTAGACCCTACCTAAACCAAGACTCGGAAGGATCTCAATTTCTTAAGCAAAAGAAGAATCACATTAAATACATGCTGAGTAAAAAACCCTTGGAATGAAAAGGTGCAAGATCTAGATCAATAGAAAAAATAGGGGTGGGGGTGGTTTGGTGAAATCTTAAAGTCATGCCTTGCTACTTCCTTCAACCATACGAAAAATAGTTGACATCTATGAAACTCATATAACATTTTCAAAGGACGACCAAGCCACACGTGAATGTCCTGTTTTACGTCTAAATGATGGGGTGATGCATTAATGGTGCATATAGATGGAGGCATGCATGATACATTCATAACATAAGAAAATAATTATGTAGCCAAACAAATTGAGCCATTGCCACGAATCTTCATCATATAATTATATTTTTTTTAACAGAAAAAAATTTATTTTTTATACAAATAATAATTATGTTAACCAAAATATTAATATCTTTTTAATAGAAAAGCAAATAAAACTAAATCGATACAACAGTGTGTTTTGCAATCAAAGCAATCTGACCCATGCTTAACACAGAGAAAGAGAAAAAAAGAAAAAAGAAAACATCTCAAAATTAACTTGTGGGCTTTTTAAGGTATATGTTAAAAGTTTTTAAAAAATAAATATAAATATTTAATTTATTATTTATTCATTTAAATTTATTTATGTGATAATAGTTTTAAAATTAATATCAATTTTTATATTTTTATATAAATTTATAATAAAAAAGCATTTTTAACATATATTATAAGAGTACAGATTAAACAAAATTTTTAATTATTATTTTTAAATTGCATTCTTCTGAAAATGTTAAACTAAATTATTGCATTTGGACACTTGATTTTGTACAAAGATCAGAATTTTATCACAATATTTTGTCATAAGAAGAATAGTTCAGGTCAGGACCACCAAAATAATTCAGGGCATCTTCTTGTCTGGCTGTCTCTGTTCCTCTCTATTACAACCAAATTTCTTCCAAATGATCAAATTTGAGGGGCTCTGTTTATCCAAATTCATCATAAATTTTGGATCTTTACACCAACTGTGTTATATTTTTGGGTATTTGTTGAAATTTTTATATTTTGTCTGCAAAATTTCAGTACGGTGACTTTGTGGGGACTTGTTTGAAGATTCCACATTTTTCAACCATAGCCTTCTTGATAAACCCACCTTACATTATGTTTTTTGAACATACCCACCTTACAATATGTTAAATGCATCTCCATAAAAGGATATTTTTATATTTTAAGAAAAAAAAAGTGATATGTAATTTGAATGGTATAATATTAATTATTAAATAAAAATTTAATTTATATATTAAAATTTTTTATTTAATAATCTTTCTGTTATAATTGGATATAGTTCCCATTATAAGACAAGTTTTTTTTTAGAAAAGTAAAGCCTTTTTAAAAAAGAAAGAAAAAAAAGGGAAAAAAAGAAAGGGATGGATGAATGCATGAGATGATCTGCCAAGAAACCACTGAATGGTGATTGATGTCCAGTCTGTTTCTTTGACCGTACAGTCTCAAATTTTTCCAAAATTTCGGAAAATGAGAGAAATAATGAGTTTAGAAAATAATAAAAGTCGACAGAATTCAAGGAGGGAGTAAAGATTACTGCATAAATCCTCATAATGAAGACTAATTATGGTAATTTTGGTGTCCAATCTCTTCATTTGACCTTAAAGTTTCAACCTTTTTATTATTTCACGTGGAACTTTGTCTTCAATCACGGTAATTACTCTCTCTCTCTCTCCTCCTGCAAATTGCAATCATATTTTTTTTATTATTCATTCATATCCCCTACCCTTTTCAATTTCTTTTATTTTTCTGTTTTTTTCTTCAATATTTGCATAATGATTGACTGAGTTAAGAAGAAAAGCAAAAAAGGGGCTACATTTACAAATGGGAATTGAATAAAATACAGAAAAGGACCCACAAACGGTTCTCCTTTTCAATGTTATTCTCTGTTAAGTTTCTGATTATTTGTCACTTTCAAGACTTACAATTAGAAATTTAAAGAAAAAAATGAAAAAAGGAAAGGAAGAAGAAATAAAGAAACATCAAAGAGAGCTTCCAATTCTTGTCAGGATGCTTCTCTCTCAGACTCTCACTGTGTTTGTAATGTAAAGCTAAGGCATGTCTCTCCTCCATTACCTACCCCTGACAACTCCACTTCTTCTTTTTACTACCCAATAGCCCAGAAGTGAAAACCCCAGAATGGAAACCCTTGAAAATTTTATTGAATTTGGAGATCTTGACAATGCAGATGAATCTGTTAGGTGTGAATGGGTTTATTTCCAAGTGGGACCTTTGGATTCTCTTCTATAAGACCTAGGGCTTGAGTCCAAGATCGGTTCTTTTCCTTTAGCAGCAGGCTGTGGACCAGGCGGTTCACCAACCAGGTTTGTAATTCATTGATTCTATTTATCTTAAAATGCTGAAAGCTTTGATCTTTGTTTATTTGACTGATCATGTGAGACAGTGTATGGAGTTTGTGTTCTTTGTTGGTCGAAATCTGATGTTTTTCTGTGCTTGATTTCGGTCAAATGATGTCTAAATGCGTGTTCTACTTCTTGGAAATGTGAAACTTATTCTATTTGTTTTTTTGATTTAATATGGGTTTGGCAGTCGGTGGACTTTCATTTTTGCTTCCTTCCTTTCATTTCAAACTTCTTCAGTTTCTTTTTAGAGACTAGATTGCTGTTCTTCTAAGTCCTCTTTTCTTGTCATTCTGTGCAATTCCTTCTCTTACCTTCTTATGTTAGTTTATCCTCGTGCCTTCACCACTTGCTTTTCATTTCTGAGTGAACTGTGTGATGCTGCCTGGTTTTGGATTTGGCTTTTCTATTAGATTTGTTTGTGGGCAAGTTATCTTGGTGTGATTTAGAGTTGAAATTTTGTAAAATAGTTTGCTTCGATGATCAGTTAGTCTTTTAGGAATAAAATGCAGGGCAAGTAATTATGTTGAATTGTTGGATGCAAAGGGTTGAGCTTTTTTAATTCTCTTACTTGTGCGTTTCAGGCATCTAGGTGTTAGCAAAAATGGCTTCTGATCTTAACCAGACTTTATCAAAGACATATATTGGTCTGCAGTTGTGGGTAATAATTGTGATAGGCTTGGGATTAATTTTTGGAGTGGTCCTTGGGTTATCTCTGTGGCTTAGTTTTCGGAAGAAATCCAGGAGGTCTAATGACATGCTTCCAGTGAGCCAACCAGCCTATATTTCAGAGGAGATTAAGGAAATAAGGGTTGATCAGGCCTCAGCAAACAATGCTTTCAGGGATACCCTTCATGACAAGTTTAATGAGAGGGAATCAGAGAACGGTCTGATCAACATTGAGCATGGAGATGATAGTGAATCAGGTTCGTTCAATCATCTAGAGAAAGATGTTAAAGGGCCTCAATCGGGAGAGGATGGAGGCACTGGTGCAGTTTCCACTTACAAGCCTTCTTCACATCCCCTGACTGCTCCTTCACCTCTGTGTGGCCTACCTGAATTTTCACAGTTGGGCTGGGGTCATTGGTTCACCTTAAGAGACCTACAGCAAGCAACTAACCGGTTTTCTAGGGATAATATTATTGGTGATGGAGGGTATGGAATTGTTTACAAAGGCAATCTAATTAATGGAAATCCTGTGGCTGTCAAGAAGCTTCTCAACAATCCGTAAGTTGAAGAGATCATTTTGGAATCTATAGAATGATTTGGTTCATTTTTGCCTGTTAGACTATGCATATCAATGTTTATTTTGGCAATCCTTTCTCTTTCTTTCTTGTAGTGGTCAAGCTGATAAGGATTTCAGAGTGGAAGTTGAGGCTATTGGGCATGTCAGGCATAAAAACTTAGTTCGACTTCTAGGATACTGCATTGAAGGAACACAGAGGTATATTTGCTTACCCACGTACACCAGGTTTTGAAAACTTATAATAGAAAAGAAAGACATTTCCTAATGCTATGTGAATTTCTTCCATTAATTTCAGGTTATTGGTGTACGAGTATGTCAATAATGGCAACTTAGAACAGTGGCTCCGTGGAGATATGAGTCATAAAGGATATCTTACTTGGGAGGCTCGCATTAAGATTCTTCTTGGCACTGCAAAAGCGTTAGTTTGACATAACTCAATCTTGTTTATTGATGCTTACCTTGGGTTTATTCTTATTATTGCTCAATATTGAATGGTGCAGGTTGGCTTATTTGCATGAGGCAATTGAGCCAAAAGTTGTGCATAGAGATATTAAATCAAGTAACATATTGATTGATGACAATTTTGATGGTAAGATATCTGACTTTGGTCTGGCCAAATTGCTAGGTGATGGGAAAAGTTACATCACAACTAGAGTCATGGGTACATTTGGGTAAGTTTTTTTTTTCTATCTTTTTTACAATCAGGAGCATGTTAATTTTGATTTTTTTATTTGTGCCATTTATTTTTTCATTAGAAAAGTAATTTAAAATAAAGACTATAGGTCTAACTTGATTATTAACGCTTCAAATTGGGGAAAATGGTGTTTAGAATTGCTATCTTACAATCTCTTTTGCTACCAACAGCCAAAATAGTTCCGTCTTTTTTCTTAGTTTGTCCACTGGTTTTTGAACATTAGATTTTTGAAGGAACTTATATTCCCCTGCTTGAATGATTTCAGTTATGTGGCTCCAGAATATGCCAATTCCGGCCTTCTGAATGAGAAAAGTGATGTTTATAGCTTTGGGGTTCTGCTTTTAGAAGCGATCACTGGAAGATATCCTGTGGATTATGGCCGCCCTCAGCCTGAGGTATGGAAGAATATTTCTTTCGTAATAGAGCTTTGTGTGAAGGAATTATCAATAGACATTTTTATCTCTTCAATATAATCCATTCAAGATATATTTGTTAGTGTTTGAGATCCCATTTGCCTAGCTGGTGCCTGTGTAGATAAAATGGTTGAGTAGAGCTGTTTCTGAAAATTCTGTATCATTCAACTTAGAAGTATACCTGCAAAATCCTATTTTGGAATCTGCAGCTTTGGCTTCTAGCTTCTAGAAGTTTCTAGGAAAGCCAGAAGCACTTTTATCATGTTTGTCCTAACTTCAGCTTCTACAATAGAGAAACTATTCTAGGTTCTAGGCTACACAGGTGTATCCGAGTGTTTGTTCAACTCCAAATTAATATTTGAGATTGCTAGTTCTTAGTAGCTTACTAGCTTGATTTAAGGGCGTGGCATACAGCTTGTGTTGTTCTATTAACATGGGCTAGTTGTTGGGTGTTCTTTCAGGTAAATATGGTGGAGTGGCTAAAGATGATGGTTCAACAAAGGCGTTCAGAGGAGGTTGTAGACCCAAACATTGAGACTAGACCCTCAACAAGTGCCCTTAAACGGGCTCTTTTAACTGCTTTAAGATGTGTTGATCCAGATGCTGAGAAAAGACCAAAGATGAGTCAGGTTGTTCGCATGCTTGAATCAGAGGAATATCCTCTTTCCCGAGAGGTTTGATGTTCAAACTTTCTTTGCATTTTTCGTTTATCCTTTTTTCAATTTATGTACTACATGTCACAATAGTACATGGAAGCAGCATTTGTGTTACCTTTTGAATTTAACTGTCTTGAGTTGAGATTAAATGATTTACATTTTCAGGATCGAAGACGCCGGAGGAATCAGAACACAGAGGCTGAGCAGCAAATGGATAATTCTGATGTTCATCAGAGTAATGATCCAGATTCAAGGTTGGAAAGCAGGAAGGACCATCCCAAATAGATTGGGGGGAAAGTCATATGCAGAAGCTAAAGAGTACAATGTTAACTATTACTCTCTTCACCCTCAAAGTCTTGGAGCTCCACCATGGATCGGATTGAACTGCAGGGAGCAGATGCAGGGAACTCTGAGATTTTCTTTTGCACTCACTTTTTCTTACCTTGTGTACTTCTAGATGGTAGAGGTAAAATTAGTTTGTGTCTGAAAACGGCTTTGTCATAAGACACCATTGCTGCCGACAGTTCTCTGTACAGTTTTTATGGATTTTTCTCTCATTTTCCCCTTCTTTTGGTCTAGGTTTTGCTGTATTCTTCTCTCAAGAGGAATCTATTTGTGAATCTATTTCATTGTTGAAAAGAATGCTAAAGAAAAGGGGTTAAAAATATCTTGTCGGGTGTCGGAACAGAACACTTTTTGTTTCCATTAAGCCCTTTGTTTGAGAGTACTGTGGTGAGTTGTTTTGTGAATTTATGTTTTTTTTTTTAATATCATAAAAATTAAAAATTATTAATTAAAATTAATTATTTATAACAAATTTATATTTTTAGAAATGGTGTCACGAGAAAAAGTGCCTTATAAAGCATTTTTAAAGGAAGCCTAAACACAATGTGAAACCAAGGCCTTTTTTCGAGAGAGTTTCAACTTCAAATGGTTGAAGCTTATAATCATTGATCATGGCACTTACCGTGTATGTGTTCAACATGGTCCCTACTAGTCCTTGCATTGCTAATATTTATGCCGTTTCTTCCGGACATAAGCTGCCCTAATTAATGCCGGCTATGTTGACTTGCACTTACCGGCCAATAATCATCCTAGACTACGTCTAGAATGAATGGGGAAGTCACAGAGTAACGTGAGAGGCATGCAACATGATTGGATCCAATCTGTCATATGACTTCCATGGCAGCGGTAAGAGGTTAAGAACCGCCCACCATGTGAGTTCACTTTCATTCTTTTGTGCTGATATTAAGGAAATTGAGATCTTGGACGGTCTTAAGTTCAAATATCATGCCTCAATCATTCAAGTCAAACCAGAACTCCAACGACAAGACAAATAAAATCTCCAAGGTTTAAAACAATGGAAAAACCAGAAAGCATCAATTTACAGAAACAAATCATAACGACAGAATTAGCAAAGACTGGAAGGTGAGTCACTGAGGAATTTATGGATGTTGCATTTTACCCTGGGAAGTGGGCCTAGTGTGCAAAAGAGGCTGGAGAGCTTTGACTACAATGCTCATGTTAGGCCGGAAATCAGCTTCGTATTGCAGGCACAATGCAGCCACAGCAGCAAACTGTTTGCAGCGAGGAACACATGAGTAACAAGTATTTATTTCATCAAAACTTAGTTCACAGAAGAAAAACATGTTTTGAATGATTAGCAAGATAAAGGTAAATGCAAGTTCATAGCCAGGAACATTGTCTTTATCACCTTTGCAACTGCCTTTGAAGGGTAATCTCCAAGTAGTCTAGCATCAACACACTGCTTCACTTTATCTTCACTAAGTTGTGGAGTTGCCTAACACAGTCAAGCACATGCAGGGATCAGCCAGAATGAATGTTGCAAATATAGACTAGTAAAACATTGCCAAGGAAAATTTTGCTAGGATACCCATGTCACAAGACTCTGCTGTCCACGTGGGAGTGTATGATCAACAGGTTTACGCCCAGTTAAGAGCTCCAGAAGGATAACCCCTAAACTATAAACATCACTCTTGAAAGTCAGTGCTCCAGTCATTGTGAATCTGTCATTTGAAACTCCAGAAGTTAGATCAGTGTTTGATTGTCACAGGAAGCTTATATGCTTATGGTTCATACTTGGCTATCTCTTGGGAGGGATGCCTAGGACTTCATCTATGAAATAACTCCATATTGCAAGGAAATCAGGCATTATATTTACATGATTATACTTAAGCAGAGGTCAATCAAGAAGTTGAGAAAGCAGATGGCAACTTACTCCGGAGCATGATAACCAAAGGTTCCAAGAACACGTGTGGAATGAACCCTTGCTGCTGTATCGGGAGCTTGATTCGACAAGTCAAAATCAGCAATTTTAGCTACATCTTCATCAAACAGTAGAATGTTGCTGGATTTAAGGTCTCGATGAATAGTACGAGGTCGTGCCTTTTCATGTAAATATTCAAGTCCCTGGGCTATTCCCACTGCAATTTTCACTCTTTGAGTCCATGATAGAACAGGACCTGGCTTTGCACCTTTGACACCTTTCTTTCCTACATCCAAAAATTAAACACCCACATCAACAAGAGAAAAACCTTTCCAACAGATAAACCTTCTCTCTACCAAGAACTGTTGACAAAACCCAGTACTCATTCCAAATTTACTATTAATGGGGAGCTGAAATTCTTCTGAACCGGTATAGTTCGTTGAGGATAAGATTTAAACAAAGTAAATATAATGATATTGCTTACCATGAAGAATATCATGGAGAGATCCATTTGGAGCATACTCATATGCAAGTGCACGGAAAGTCCCATCAACACAATAACCAAGAAGCTCAACAAAATTTTCATGTTTTAGTCTTGATACCATGGAAACCTGTAAAAAATTGTGCGGCAACCCTTAACTTTGAATCCCTAAGTTAAACATTCTCTAGCACACATAAACATAAAGCATGAGGCAATTTCATTAGCACCAACCTTTGCTAGAAATTCTTGGTGTGGTTGCTTACTGGAATCCAATTTTTTGATTGCGGCAGCTTGCCCACTTTTTAGAACACCATAATATACTACTCCATGAGAGCCCTCACCGATTAAGGATTTTGTACTGAAATTCTCTGTTATTTCCTTTAGTTCATCCACTGAGATGGCAGGGACAGCAATGGGTTGGAAAGTAACAGCTTGTGCTTCCTGTCTTGGAGCTTCATCTTGATGACCTTCAATATTTCCTACATTAACATCTTCTTAGTTTCATACTAACCAATTAGAAATTAAAAGGAAGAAAGAGCTAGCTGAGAATAAACAATGATTTCCAAAGTGGTGCAACAACTTGCAGTCCATTAATGCCATTATCTGGGTAAAAGACAAGTGAACATGAGATATCTACCAAGGACAGAACCCTCAAGTTTGAAACAGATATCAAGAACGTGTTAAAAAACTAGAATACAGGTTGCTATTAGGCAGTTCCAAAGTAAAAGTGACGAAATGAAACTTTAAGCATGAACAATAACCATTTCTCCTTGTATTCATGTAGAAGACTTTCATAAAATTCAAGAATGAAATACTTGGATTGACTAAGAGACAAGCCAAAGGCAGAACTGCGTGCATCACAGACCCATTGGTAGAGATAAACAGGTTAGCTAGTGAATAAGAATTACTTTCTGGGTTATTTGCCGTGAATGGTCCATTTTGAGAAGAATAATGGATGTTATCATCTTCACAACAGCTGAAGCAGCTCATGTTTCTTTCTCCTGAAAAAAGTTCACGGAGTAAATAAGAACAATTTTACGAACATGTAAAAGATGGATTCATTGTAATATAGCTACATGAAAGAACATTGTCGCATGGATCCCAACATAACCACAGCATAGAATCAAAGGAGAAGTACATGGTAACTTCAAATTTTTTAAAAATAAAGGCTTTTCCTTTCATCATGGGAGACTGAGAAATCTAATTTCTTATCAAAATTACACACAAGGGAAATTGAATCTTTTCACTGACAATGGCAAGATTCTGCCAATTGCTTCCTAGATATGATATCAAATCAAAGAAATTTCCTTTATAAGAAGTAAGAATACTCAACATGAGCACTTTGCATCTAGCTCTCCAAGGCAAATTCCATACTTCTATATATTTCTATGCTGCTTTTTCTCCAAATATAGACACTCCTAGAAACTAAACTCATTTAAACTGTGAAGAAACTCACATAACTGTCAAAGATTAACAGAAAAACCCATCAGTAATTCATAATTTCATTAACAACCAAACATAAGAATGGGTCTTTCAAACTCTTTTCTAACAGAAACAATATCAAACATCAAATTCTGCTTCAAAATTCGTCCATTTTTGTTCTTTTCCCATTTCCACAACAACCAGAAGAAGAGAAATCAAGAAAACAGTTATAAAAAAACACTGATCAAAGAGAAGAAATGAATAAATCAACTTAATTAGTGAAACAACTAAGACCCAGGTTTCAAAAGATCAACCAATCCATGAAGAAAAGGGAAAATAGAGAAATACTACTCAACTGCTAGCTAGGTCCCTGGCTCAAGCCTCTGTTTTCCCTCTGTGCCCTGGCTTACACAAATTAAATTTGTATATATACATATATGCTTGTATTGAGAGGAGAGATGGGTGAAGGGATGCAGGGTTTTGGGAAGACTATACCTTTTGGGGGCGCGTCGGTCAGCTCGTCTCCGAACTCCTACTCCTTCTTTGCCTGGTAGACTTTGCAGTCTATCTTTAGCTCCTAAAAGAAGACTTTGGGGCAGGTCTTCTTTAGTTCATTCTCAAAGTTGGATCAACTAAAGTAGATGTTGTATTTCATGCTGAATTCCTGATTCAAGTTTTGCATTAGCATAAAAAAAATATTTTTTTTAGATATGGGGTGCACTCAAGTTCGTTCACTAGTAAACGAAGTCTTCTTTTTTTTTTTTTGGTTAAACCCTGTTTTGGTTCCTGAACTATTATATGGACCCCGATTTGGTCCTTGAACTAAAGAAATCCCTAATTTGGTCCTTAAACTATTATACAGACCCTTGAGTTGGTCCTCAAGCTATTGTACGGACCCGAGTTAGTTCCTAAACTATTATATAAATCCCCAATTTGGTCTTTATTATTTACTAATTTAACCGAACTTGCTCCTTCTGTTAAATAATAGCTCAAGGACCAAATTGGAATGAAATTGTAAATAATAAGAATCAAATTGAGATTAGTACAATAATTCAAGGACCAATTTAGGTCAAATTATAAACAGTGAGACCAAATCGGAAGTACGTACAATAGTTTAAGAACCAAATTAGGGATTTCTTTAGTTCAAGGACCAAATTGAGAGTCCGTATAATAATTCAGGAACCAAATGAGGATTTAACCTTTTTTTTAATTTATAATTCCAATTTTGAGAAAAATATAAAAAAATTAATTTTTTTAAATTATCGAATCAATCTTGGCGTCTGGTAGCCTCCGAAAGAACTGTGCGAAAACTAAAAAAAAAAAAAAAAAAAAAAAAAAGGACTTTGTGGTTTGGATTTTGGAATTTGGACTGTTCCTCGCTTTCCTTCCTTGGCATGGGAATTACCCTTGAGTTAGCCCTCAAACTTTCTGGTCTAGTCCTCACCTCAAACTTTAATTTCATATTCTAACAAGGAAGTGCGTGTTACAAAAGAAATATTAAGAAAATTAATTATTTTTTGAATGGGTTCAAAAACCATAAATACTTCAGATAGTTTGGATTAATATGAAGGTATTTGTGATAAAACTTAGTAAAACTTTATTTATTGTCTCCTTATTAATTAGTTTATATGCATTAAAGTTGCTGTATTTTCTTGTTCAACATTATTGTGCTTGCTTCCACAATTAGGTAAGATAAGGAGTTGAAAAAGGCTTAAAAAAGAGTTCATATTGCTTTTACTAAAAAAGAAAAAGAAAGAGTTCATAATTTCATATTGCACAAGGGCATAATTGATCCAAAAACAAGTTCGAGAGCTAGATTTAGGGAGCAAAGTGAGATTAGGGGCTTAAAAAAACGAATTTAGTTGCACACCAGCATGTGTTTAGTTGGCAATGGGAATAAGCCAATGAGGCGCTTGTCCGATTTGGTGGCTGTGGAAGCTTCCTATGGCATATTTTTCACGTCCACCACTGAAATTTCCTATTTTTGTTTGTTGGGGTCTTTTTGGGTTCTCCTTTCTGGGCCTGTCAATTGTTGTGTCCATCGGGCGAGACCAGATTGAGATTTTCTGAATTGAGTGTGTGTGGGCAATCGAGTTCAGTGTCACGATGCTATTACTTGGATTTTGTTTCGCAACATTTCTTGATATTTTAATTTTTAATATTTTAAAAATATACAAAATATTAATTAAGAAGAGATATTAGTATTTATCCATCTTATTTACTAAAAATTAAGAGAAAAATCACCTTAAAATTATGTAATTTTAAAAAGTATTACAGAAAAAAACAAAAATACGAAAAACAATTTAAATCATATTTTAAAAATAAGATATATTAATTTTTTTAATGAGAATTTGTTGAAATGATGTCGTTTTAAAATGATTTTCTTCTTAATTTGTAGGAAGAGGTAAGTATTATTTCTTTAAGATAAATATTAAATATATATTTTATATTTTATATTTTTTAACATATTAAAATATTAAAAATTTTATAACAATAATTATAAGTCAGTATTGTTCAGTTAAGGGTCAATTATAGTAGGAGGTTAGCGGTAACTTCTTACGGGAGTAATAACCATTACGTAAATGTTTGTCGTTTTCTCTATTTACTGAAAAAGTAATATTTGTCGTTTAAACTTCTTCCATACAATAGTTTAAGTAATGATATATTTGACAAAAAATGCCAATCCACCTCGGCTCTTAAAAATTTTGAAGAAAATGACCCTAAAATTTTATTATTCTAATAAATGATTAGAATATTTTATTTTTAAAGCATAAAATGAATTATTTTATTATTTTATTAAAATAATATAATTTTAATGTAATTTTTTTTTTAATTTTTATGAGATGAGGCAGATAAATTCTAATACATATATAATTGATTGAATTTTTTTAATAAAGTAAAACCACTTAAAAAGAATTATGATGTATAGAAATATAATTTTTTAAATTGAGAATAATCTATTCACCTTATTTCTTAAAAATTAAAAGAAAATTATTTCAAAATTATGTTATTTAAATAAATTTTCATTAAAAAAGATTAATATATTTTTATATTGTTTATAATATTTTATTAAAATAATGTAGTTTTAAAATAATTTTTTTCATAATTTTTAAGAGATAAGACAAATAAATATTAATTTTTTAAATTATTTATTTATATATTATATGAAAATATTACTTAAAATTATTCATAAAAAAATAAATGATAACTATTTAAAGATGGGAGTTACCTTATTACCAATTTGTAACTTTCATTGTTTAATTTTATTTAGGTAGTAACTTTGTTGCAAGACATTGATTAAAAATACATTGCTTTAAAATATTCATTGAATACTTCGAAACAAGCTTAAGCTTCCAGATGATTGGAATGTATATACGTAACCTTCAAACCCTTTTTCATTTTGATACATGAACTGAATAAAACGGATATATATACTTTCAATTTCTCAAATTAATCAGTGTCTGTATTAAAGTTGGAATTTAAGACTGATTTAGTTATCAAACTCTTACATCAGGTTAGCCTCCAAAAGATTCAAAACCATTATTTATGATTGCGGAGAATCCAACGCTGTAATGATGATGTATATAAGTATAAGAAAATAACTAGTATATTTTTTTCTTTAATATCTTTTATGATATGTTTATTAAAAAAATATTATTTTTAAATTTAAATTCAAAATAAAAATAATTTTAATTATAGATTTTAAATTAATAAATATTAATAAATATATTCAACTGTAAAATATATCTATCAATTTTCATAATTATGTTTGCAGCACATCTTTAGGCCCATTTTTCTATTGAGAAGCCCTCTCATTTAATAGTTTATTTTATTTTCATTATCTCAATTATAAAAAATTATTTTACAAAATAAATTGTATGTAATTTATTTTGTAAAATTATTTAAATATTATTTAAATATTATTTTATATTATTTTAAAAAAAAATTTAAATAATCTTACAAAGTAAATTACCTATAATTTATCCTGTAAAATAATATTCTATTTAAATTATACCATACCTTTTAATATTATAATTCTTTATGAAATGTATACAGTACCAAATAGATTTCCAATGATTGTGAACCATACGTACAAATTGGAGAAGGTGGTGGCAAACACATCATCTTGTAAGGAGAAAGTCATCATGATTTGATTCTGATTTACAAAGGTGTATGCATCCGCAGATAAAACCTACAAGTGACATATTCCCAAGTTAATATCTTACCAAGTCAACAGAACAAGAATCTCTCACCATCCCCCCTAGACACAGGGAAAAAGAAAAAAATGGCCGTGACATATTTCATGGGCGGCCTTCAAACTTATGATTATGCATTTTAATCATATTAATTTAAAGATGTGTTATAGAGATAATTTTTTTATTTTATATTTTGATATAATTTTTACATATAATTAAATTAAAAAGATATATTTAATATTACAAGTTTTATATAAATTAAAAATTATTAATAATTTAAATAACACGTTAGATTATATTAAAAGTTGATAAAAAATTATCCTAAAATCATTTTTCTTTAATTAACTATATAATTAAATCCGGTCCCCATTTTCTTACATTGTCACTAATTGTGACGACATGCTACGAGAATTTTTCGTGTGAGAGGTTGTTTCCTTTTCTTTTCTATAAATTGGTTTAATGCAAACCAAAACGACGTAGACTTTTGTCATTCGTGAGTAATATAATGATGTGGTTTTTAGTACAAATTAAAAAGCACTTATTTTAAAATTATTATTTTCTTTTACAAGTTTAAAATTTTATTAGAAGGAAAAACTTAAAATTTGGTGAATTTTAAATAAATAAGAAAAAAATTATACATCTAAAATTTATTTT